GGAAGATTTTCATGACCGGCTGGACAGGCCGGTCACCCGGGCGTGACGCCCGGTGGGGTCTGACACCCGGGATACCCGGGCATGGAAAAAAAATAAAAATAAAAATATTGGCGGTGGAGTTTTTCCGCGCTCTCCGAGAGGAGCCCAAATCGGGGCTTTTTCTTTTTTTGAGAGTTGGCTGTCAAGGGGGGGGAAGGGGAGTATAAATGAATTTTAAAGGGGCTAAAGGGTTTTAAAGGGGGGTGCCTTAGTGTGATTTTTTTTTATTTTTTTTTTTAATCCTCAGTTCCGTGAGGAATTCTTTTTTTTCAACAGTTGAATGGTTTACCCACTGAGATAGGCTCTTGGGTCTCTTTTTTTTTTTTTTTTTTTTTTTTTTTTTTTTTTTTAAGTCTTTATAAAAGCCGGGAACCAGGCCCGGCGTCCCTTATGTGACCCTCAGCCAAAAGTTGTTTGTATTGCAATTCTACACAACGTTTTGTTTTTCATATTTTTTTGGAGATTTTTTTTTTTTTTTTTTTTGCACCGGGGCTGCCCGGGTCCATGCCTGGGGGTCATGCCCGGCCGGTCACCCGGTTGCCAAAGCGGGCGTGACGTCGGGACCCGGGCGCCCGGGATATCTCCCTAGAAAAAACTTAAAAAAGGGGAAAAAAAAGAGAACAAGGAGGGCTCGTTGGTGGAGCCTTTGTTTTTTGAAAAGGAAAAAAAAATGGAAAAAAAAATCAGAGAACACTTACTAGCCCTCATGTCTCCCTTAACCCATGCGTCTAGTGTCCACCACAGTCTTGGTTTGAGAGCGAAGATGGACCCGTCCCCCATCAGCTGGTGAGACTGGACGGGTGACGCCACAAGGGAAATCAATGGCAGCCAACAAAGCGAACAGTAGGAACGTCTAATGGCCAACAGCGTTGGCTAAGGTCCTGCCAAATACTGAAGGGGGGGATGTGGTTTATCTCTAGTCAGAGGGAAGGACACAGCATCCACCAGGGTGTAGGCTGGGGCCAAGCAGACTTGAGCCCATGTCCTACCAATTGCAACAACTTTTGTGCCTTACAGGACACAGCATCCACCAGGGTGTAGGCTGGGGCCAAGCAGACTTGAGCCCATGTCCTGCGGATTGCAACAACTTTTGTGCCTTATAGGCTTATACCAAATGAGCTAAGATTATTCGGTGAGGAACAAGAGACAAAATTCTCTTTTTTTTTTCCAGGCAGTCCATGGTAAGCTTTTTTTTTTGTTTTTTTTTTTCTGGCGGGCGCCAGTCCAGTGGCTTATCACCAGCAAGCATAAGATGTCTTCCAAACAACACCCTGTAGGGGAGATGAGAGATATCGAGTGTGAACAACCGGGAGACTCCCCTACAAATGTTTATAAAATCTAAAAACTTTTACATGCATTCTTCTTTTCCATGGACAGGCCTTGGGGTATTGAGTATCCGGACTCGACTTGGCTTGTGGCCTACTCAGGGGAAGGTTATCATGGAGGCACGAGGTTTTGCAGAAGCGTGAGGTTGAGCGAGGTATAAAGAGGATGTGGGCATTGTGGAGTGGATGGAGTCGCAGTTCGCCTGGGAAGTCGTCCTGCAGTGTGTGTATACACCAGGAAACCTCGAGCGAACGTTCAGTGTGTCGGAAGTCTGGCAGAAGCATGACTGATAACCTTGCCAATTAAATTTCCAGGCATATTGTCATCTCGCATGCCTTTATTGCATATCAAGAAAGCAGCACTTAATGCAGCCATGGCAGAAGCATCAATCAGGGGACAGCCACTGCATCCCACTGCATCCAGCACTGTCAAAAGGACACCATTAGCAGTGGTGTTGCAAGATGACATACAATCAAGTAGAAATCATGGTGAACGCACCCCTTTCAAAAATAAAAATAAAAAATAATCATAATAAAAATGATGGTGAACGCACCAACAAGCGTACTGCATACCATACTGACAGACACAAGCAGCACTGACACAGTTGATGCAACAGACGCAAAGTACAGCCACAAACCAAGAGCCACGCAAGCCTAGCCCGTGCACAAGGATGATGCACATAAACAAGTACAGACACACACACAGAGAGAGAGAGAGAGAGAGAGAGAGAGAGAGAGAGAGAGAGAGAGAGAGAGAGAGAGAGAGAGAGAGAGAGAGACCCAAATGTGCACTCAACAACTGGATGGCTACCTACAGCCAGTTGGGCACGAAGACCGAACAAAAGCACAAAGGCAAGTGCCACCGACCAACCCACCTTGGGTAGCGGGACATGCTGTTCGAGAGGACAGCACGTCCAACCAGGGAAAAGATTCCACTTACGCAGATTGTGTGTTTCTGGGAATCGATTCCGGAAATTCACGGTCTCCATACAGGCAAGCGGGTCCTCGCTGCAGGGGGGCGTCGCCAGCCAGAACCCAATGACAACAGTCTCAGAAACCAAAATGGGGGAAAACCCCAAAAAGTACACAAAGGCATATTACTCAGACCTCCCCAAATTGAGGAAAAGGTAGTGGAAAAGTTCAAAGAACTGTGGAAAAGACGAACATGCTAAAAAACTTGTGACTTGCAAACTCGAAAAGTGCCAGACGTGCACGGTAAACTGTTACAGGCTTATAACACTACTGAAACATGGGCTTGCACTTCTCGGTGGCGCTTTGGAGGCTGGCGGATAACGTAGAAAAGAGCTAGAGAACATCATCTCTCCTGATGTGTTTTCTTCTTTGGAACTCAAGCCGGCATTGCAGGCAGGCTGGGGTGAAAAAAAAGCATTTGCGCCAAAACTACTATGCCTGAGTGCTTCCCACGTGGGCTTCCCTCTTTGTTTTTTCTCGTTTGTTGCATCCCTTACGGAACACTATGAGTGGGGGAAAGTACCCACGTGATGCTACACCTCTCAGCCATACGTGGTTACTTCATTTAGGGGGCCCCTCCACTACTCTCGAAATGCGCAAAACAAGAGTGAATCTTCCGCTAGAATATGGAAAGATACGCCGGCATGATTTTTGTATTTTGTGCAGGTAGAGAGTAGTGGAGCTAGGCCCTTATTTGGTTATTCATTTATTGTGTTGCAGACGCAGAAATTTGCCCGGTCAGAACGTGCACCTGGGGCGAGAGGCCCCACCTGCATGTGCATGTGTTAAGAGATACTGGCCGTCGGATCGTCAGGTCACCTTTGGACAGTATCTCTGTCTCCGTGGTGCGAGTGGGACCTCGCCCCTGGATTTGCTGATTATCCCCAAGAAATGCATGCATGATAAGGCCCTGAAGGTGTGCAAAGGCGGCTGAGGTGTATCCTTCCCCAGGCTAATTTTGCCTTTTTTCCCAACAAGTCCAGGGGGGGACGTCCCACGCCAGAATCTGGATGTCTTTTAAGGCAGAGATGCAGAAAAGCAGATAGATATTGATTTTCTGCAACCTCTCCATGAATACAATACCCCCAGATTCAGGTGTTCAAGCCAATGCTCTTTGCTAGTGGGCCCTTCTTTTTCCAACATGTCCAACACAAAAGGGGTTATTTCTGTCCTCCACCCCCCCAATATGGTTGTGACTCTTGTGAGGAAACTTCTTTTTTCTATAATAATTAAAAAAAAAAAAAAAAAAACACATCCCAGCGTAAGGCCACTACAGGGCGGATGGATCCAGTCTCTTAATGGGGAGCAACACCTGCTGGAAATTGGGTCCAGTGTCCCATTTTTACATGAGGAAACTTGGTAGTGCCAAAATGGTGTTTCCATTTCCTGGAGACATAAATTGGAAGATCAGACCCAATGGGCAACAAATAACAGGGACCAGTTGGGCTCTAGCAATATAGCTAAGCTTGTATAATGATGTGCATCATGTAATAATATGTGGTTTTGCTCCAAAAAGGAAGAAGAAGAAGAAGAAGAAGAAGAAGAAGAAGAAGAATCCAGTACTTGGCCAGACTTTCAAGCTCTAATCCCCTCCCCAAAAGGAAGCGGACTAAAATGGAAAGAAAGAAAGTACAACCAACAGGGTTCTATGCTGGGCATATGAATGCTGCGGAGCGTCATAAATGAGGTCCCTTCTACAGGCAGTTGGCCGTTTTGACTGTGGCCATTATGGCGGATGACATGGCGGTTCCCTAGAAGTTCATTTCCATCATCTCCACAGCCAGGATCTTCAGACATCATGTTTTGTGTAGGTATGCCCATGTGATGAGGGAAGTGAGTACCTTACCACACTTGTTTTCTTTTTTATTTGTAATACCACACGCTTCTGTTTGGCTTCTTTTCTCTCTTCTTTTCTTGTGTACAGAAACAAACAAAAAGACGACCTCTGTTCTATTCTGGGGTTTGTTGTTTTTTTCTCCCCTCAAAAAATTCAAATCATCAAATGCCATTACTTTGCCAAATTCGAGGCTGGCCAAATTCGAGGCCCGGAAAATTTTACTCGGGTTCTCAAATTTCCCATGCAAGGTCCCAATTTCCTGTATTCTGAATTTGTGGGTCTGTGCTAATTACAGCTTTTCTGCTTTTATTGTCACTTCCAGTATTAGAAGGTGCTATTACTATGCAGGGTCCAGAATGTGGAATACGGACAAGTGGGACCTCACCCTCACCTCAGGTGAGGGGGCCGAGGAGGGAGGAGGGGGCTTTGTGCCAGAGCTGTGTGTGTGTGTGTGTGTGTCAATGGTTTCCAAAAATAGAATAAAGCGAGCACTGCACCACAGGCCCTGGAAACAATCTTTCCAAAAATAGAATAAAGAGAGCACTGCACCACAGGCCCTGGATGTAGAAAGGTACTACAGACAGAGGCCTTGATTATTAATTTATTGATATTATATTAAATAATTATAATCATTCGTATCATGATCAAAACTTCCCAAGTTCTAACTTGTAATTTCAAATTTTCAAAATAATTGAAATCCTCCTTTTTTAGGCTTTTTTTCTTTTTTCTTTTTTAATTGGGCTGTTCTGATATATAATATATATGTGTGTGTGGGGGGGGGGGGAACCATGTGTGTGTTTTGTGTTGTGTGCTTGGAATGGTGGCAGCATTGCACATCCGTACCTCCTTGCAGACAACAGGCACTACCCTTTCTACCTTTGGCGGTGGGTGATTGCAAGAACCTCCTTTTCCAAGTACTGCTTAGTTCCAATCTACCTTGTCGCCTGGATCTCGATCTTCACCAAGCTTGGTCAGTATAGTACTATAATTGTGTACCCCCTGCTCATTTTTGTTTATTTATTTCTTTATTTATTTTAAATTATTTTATTGAATTTAATGAATTGTTGATTTATTTATTATTTTAATATTTTTATTTATTTGTTTGTTGGTTTGTTTGTTTATTTTATTTATCATGATCTCTACCTTGCCAATGCCTGCATTAGACCACAAGTATAACCAACCAAGGCTGGCAGCTTCCCTCTGCACTCAAGCTTTGCCGTAATGCCAGTGCGGCGTCTTTGTTTTGGTTTTGGCTGGTGCGGCTGGCCATTTTGGTCCTCTTGCCCCGAGCCTCCGAACATTTCAGAATGAGCCAATTTTTTATTCTCAAGTCGCCTGGGGCCATGTACTGGTGGTTTAACTCGAAACAGAGTACTGCTTCTTCCGGTTTACGCGGTAAGAGCTTTTCGGTTTGGGCCTGGGCTGGTAGCGAAAGCCGCAGGCCACTTTGCAAAGGTGCAATTGCAGGCTTGCGGCGAGCCTTGGAAGGTAGCTTCGTCAACTTAGGCTCGTGTGAACTGGTGGACGAGCTCACGCTGACAACGCACGACGACTGTCGTGTGGCGGAGGGTGGAGGGCACGCGTGGGGCAGACTGGCCCAGGATTCGAATTTGAATCCTGGGACCTATGCGCACCGTCAATTGCCGACCCAGATTAAAAACAAATAAAACTTGTAAAACAGCGCCTACCGGACCCCGAAAAACCGCGTGCCAGCCGGCAAAAAAAAAATTGCCCTAGGGGCCAAAGGGCAGCGGCGCGAATTTATTTTTTTCTGCTCGTTTTGGGTATGGCGCTGAGGGGGCCCGGGTGCCTGGCCGGGGGGGTTGCACGGCCGAGTGCCCCGAGCGCCATTCCGGGCGACCTTGGGTGGCCCGGGCGGGAAAGCTAGCCCTGTATATCAAACGATTTGCATAATTCTATATGAGACGCTGTGTCCGTTCCCAGCACGTGCTGCTCCGCACGAATAGACTGGAGCATTTGCCCCCCCCCCCGCCCCCAAAAAAAAGAAAAAAGAAAAAGAGGCTAGGTACCAATACACTTGGTGACGTGTGTTTTTCTGCGGTGTTTAGACACCGGATTCGGGCTGGTGCCTCAGATATGGCTGAGTAGGCGTTCCGACAGACACATCCGTGTGCTTCCAAATTGATCACCTTGCCCCCTGTGCTGCAATTTCTGTGCAGCAGCTTTTAGAACATGCCCTTTCACGTCCAACGACCTTGCATACTGACAAGTCAGACAAATTTGCCAAAGCAATCACACACACAATGCATTATTGGACACTGTTTGTTATATGGCCTTGCTGTGGCACGAGCACCAGCTGCTACCTGCAAGTCTGTCACGGTTGCAGAACGCAGAGCTTTGGCGTCTGAATCAATGAAATAGCAGAGGAACTGGCCGCTAGTTCTTCTGAGAAGCGGCCTCCTGGGCGGGACCCAGAAAGGGAAAGAAGAGTTTGGGTGAAACATGATTGACCTCTTCAACCCATCAACAACTGGATCAGTAACAGCTAAAAACATTAGATGACCTGCACCAGCTTGGTCTGACATTGTGGCAGTTCTTTCTACTTACAGACAATTCTGGGGCTGACTGTCTACTCTCTCTCTCTCTCTCTCTCTCTCTCTCTCTCTATATATATATATATATATATATATATATATATATAGAAACTCCGACGAAACAGTTTGTCACAGCCCCTCGTTTGTTGTCCTCTTCTCCCTCTCTGCCTACGGTTTACCGGGCAGTTCTATTTGACGATATATA